GATTACAGTTGGAGTTGTCATTTCCCTGTAATGTAGAGTGGAGCAAAGAAAATGCTATTGGGGAAAAAACTATAATTCTTGCACACTTCTCTAACCCAAGCCTAACTTTCTTCATCCTTTTACCCTGGGTAAAACTAAAAGAATTACACTCTACTTTTGAATGAAAATACATTTGGTTAAACTAAGATGAAGCTCTTGGATTTTAGGGAGGAAGGATGGAAATAACTTTTATCTTTAAAATTTTAGTAAAGAAAGAGTGACAATGCCATAAGTGACAATATTAACCTTAGCACAGAGGGCTTTAAGGGGGGGGGCAGGGGTTGTGTGTGTCCAATGCATGCACTGAAATGAAAAATTATTCTTGGCTCATTCACCTGTGTGCTGGTTAATTGTATCAACACAGCAAGGCTCATCTTACAAGGTCTTTCCACTTCAGACCTGTGCTCACCCTGCAAACCTATGCCCTTTAAAGGAAAAGGACAGAGTACTATTTACCTTTTCAAGACATATGTCAGACCCACGTATGAGAATAAGGAGAGGCAAAGTGGTGCAACTATCTCCCTGTGAGTGGGAACAAATACACTCTAGCTTTCACGGGAAAAGGGCCATCTCTTTGAACAGAGCTGTCAAAAAATGTGAGACCGAGTAGAAGCGGCCAGTGTTTAGTTCTTACAGAACTTTCCTCACCTAAGGAAAGGGGCCCAGCAAACCCCAGAGATGTACAAAAGGAAATAACACAACCTGAGTTGAGCGTTTTGCCTAGCACCTACTTTTTAAGAGCTCGGGGTCTGAAGTCAAGTTACCTGTGTTTGAATTTATGTTCTAACACTTTCCTGCAAGTTACTTAAAGTAACTGAGTTTCCGATTTCTCAGATTAAGATTGGAATAATGATAGGAAAGAAAGTAGAGGGTTGATTTGAAGATAAAATCAAGTTAATAAATAAGATAACGAACATATAGAGCCCCCCTCTTGTTATTACCCCCTTTATTATCCTGTCAGTACATGAGAACACATATGTGCATGTATGCGTACAGGCTGACCACGGTGACCTAAAAATATTTGCCTTGACTAAACTTTCGACAGCCTCCTTTCTAGATTTAGGCCATGACCTCCTTTTTCTCAGAGCATTTAACTTAGAAAACTTTTCAATTCTTTCTCTGCCCCTTTGAGATGTAAATCTTTTTTGAAAAGTCTCTCGCCAGCTTTACAACCCAAATCAAGGACCTGAGAGCCATCCCTTTGAAATGTAATTATCAAGGAAGATAGCACCCGCAGCCTCTGTGGTTGGTAGAAGGCTCACTTTTGTGGGCTTCTTGCTCCAAGTTGTAAAACTGCTTCTTGTCAAGAAGATAAGAGACAGTTTAATTTTCCTTTGAGTTAGGTCATTTAGAAAACACTGATGACCTAGATTCCTCCTATTTCAGCTCTTCAAACCTCTCCTGCCCTTTGTTACAGGGGAGTTAAGTTCAGACTGAGGCTGGCTGCTTTCACCTACTGCAACAGCCTTGAATGGGGTCTTTCTTGCCTATTTAACTGATTCTAGTGACACTCTTGCTTTGGAAGCGCTATGCGTTGAACAAAGATTTTTACTGACATTTTTCTAAAAAATATATTCTATCAGAAGGCTTAGCACCTTAGATAATGTGACAACTCTATTTGCATTTGGACAGTTTTGCACTAATGCAGAGCAAGAGAAATTGAAAAAAAATACAGTAATTTTTTTTCCTATTTCACTTAGAATATATTCTGAATCTTATGCCTTAATATAATTTTATGCTGTGAATGTTTTAATAATTTTTACCCAAGCCAAAGTGGTAACTTATGAAACACTTGATGTCAAAGTAAATTGTTTTTTCAGTTCTTTTTCATAAATGAATCCACAGGTCTTTATCCCTACATGAACATATGTTTACATCTTTTCATCATTTATGCCCTCCTCAGAGAATTTTATTATAAAGTTAAAATTAAGTACCAACTTAAGGAAGTGCACTGTTTTTGGCTAGTTTATAATCATAAGTGATTAACTTATACATTGCTACCCTGTTAAACACAGTTATAAATTATTTTGAGAACTAAATTATGGAAGAGAACATTTTAAGAATCTTTATAGAGAAATTACATAAAAGAGGTCTTAAATATGTAATCTTAATTGTTTTTCCTTTACTTCTAAAATTAGATGGACCTCTATATTTTGAAATAATTTTTCAAAATATTGAGGGAAGAATATTTTAAAACCTGGGTCTGTACATTTTTTTAAACTTTCATTTATCAAGTCATTTTTTTCCGGCAGCCAACATCCCTCTGCTATTTCCCCATAACCTCATATGACTGAAACAAGGAAGAACTAGATGCCTTTGTTTTAGCATTTAACAAAATTGCTCCTGAGCCTCCTCTTCTCTAGTCTGATTAGATTATAGTGTAATTTAACATAGAAAGAAACTATGCAAAAGTGGGAGGGTAGTCATGTCTCCTTAATAAGACTGATGATAATGTACACAGAAATATTCTATTCTGGTAAGAACTAACATTGTCTCATCATATTTAAGATAACATGATAGGGCCGGCCAAGTGGCTCAGTTGGTTAAGAGTGCGAGCTCTGAGCAAGAGGGTCGCTGGTTCAATTCTCACATGGGCCAGTGAGCTGCGCTCAAGCTGAGCTGCCAACAGGATGGTCAGCTAGTGAGAGCACGTGCTCCTAACAACAAGGTTTCCAGTTCGACTCCCGCACGGGATGGTGGGCTCTGCCGACCCGCAACGAAGACTGAACATGGCAACTTGAGCTGAGCATCCACCAGCTGCCAAAGGGCAGCCGGATGGCGACTGGACTTGGAGCTGAGCTAGTTGCGCCGTCACAACTAATACTAAAGGACAACAACTTGGCTGTTCCCCTTCCCCAGTTCCCCAACACTTCCCTTTCCCCAACTGCCCAATAAAATCTTTAAAAAAATTAAAAAGGGAGCCAATTTAAAAAAAAAAAAAGAACATGACAGTAGATAAACATTTAATTTATCTTGACTATATTGAAATTATGGCGAACATAGAAATTCAAATATCCTGGGCTGGCCAATTGGTGCGTTGGTTAAGAGCTGGCTTGGGACACCAGAGGGCCCCGGTTCGGATCCCACATATGAGGGCCAGTGACACTGCCCTCTACAGCTAAGATGCTGAACAACAGCTCAACCTGGAGCTGGGCTGCCGTGAGTCACCGGCGACGGCGTAGGCTGCAGCCCCTGCTGCAGTGGGCTTCTGTAAGCTACTGTGTGTGTGTGGCCAGCAGCCAGCGTGAGCTGCCAAGAGCTGCAGTGAGCGGCTGTCCAGAAGCCAGCGACTGATTTGCCTCAGCTGGGAAGAATGCAATGATAATACCAACATGGGCCAGTGAAGCGACGTCCTCCACAACTAGACTGAGGAACGAAAGGACAGCAACTTGTCTGTTCCCCTTCTCCATTCCCCAGTGCTGTTCCCTTCCCCAATTCCCCAATAAAATCTTTAAAACAAAAACAAAAGAAAGAAAGAAAGAAAGAAATTCAAATAGCCTATGGAGTATTATAGTCATGGTATAATTTTAGCTCAGAAGCATTTTAAAAATTAATTTTCTTTTCTATTTTTGTTACTAAGAATATTTATTCTAATGATATTAAGAGAATTTTTGGAATATTTTTGAAACTAACCTTATCTCTTTCCTTTCTCATAAATTTTATTTTGCAGTCCTTTTAAAGTGTTAACAGTATCTCATGTTTTCTCCCAGAATATTTTTGTTTCAATATATTATAAAAAGGCTGCACATAATTACCTAAAAATATACCTGAAAATAATTAAAAGCTACCTATATACTGGGTTGTCGGAAAAGTCATGACGCATTTTTGCAATGAAAAATATAGAAAAAATACATCATGACTTTTCTGACAATCCAACAATTAACACTCTTCTTTATAAGGTAATAAAAATGATAAAAGAGAATAGAGTAAAATGTACTAGGTTTCTTGATTTAAATGTCCATTGGAAATATATTTTAAATAATTATTGTCCAGTAGTAAAAAGCTTCACAGCTACAATTTTTAATGCTATTATTTGGTAATAAAATAACATATGAAACATGCAACAAATGAAATATGATTATATTTTTGTGGAAAATGTCCTTAATATTGAGGTTTTATAAAAAATAACCAGGAAATTTAAGCCTCAGAAGGAACTGCAACTCTAAGGCATAGAAGTTCTGAAATTAGCTTTATTATTTAAGGTTGCAGTGCTCATTTATTTTCATAAAATGCTCTAAATGCGCAACAGACAATATGAGATGCCTAAAGGAAAAGCAAAAGGTAATAGATGTAGAAGGGTGGATTGTTGGGTATGGACGGGAAATGCAAGAGACGAGGAAATACATGGAGAAGGGGAAAGCAGTATAACAGCTGACAGGAGAAGCCGATCTAGGACAAATGCTACCGAGGGACTGTGGTCTACCACAGTTAATTAAATTGATATTTATGTGAAACCTTGAGATGCTCTTATCCTGAAAATATGTTTGGACTTGATCATGTATAGTAATGAAAATAACTGTGCAATTCATTAAATACAACTTTTGGAATTATTTAGTATCTTACCCTAGTCCATGACCCTAAAATTAAAGAATCATCTATGCCTTATAAAACACGAGGAATTTATTCAGTTATTAAAAACAATTATTTGACATAAGTTTCAATTTCAAATATAAAAAAAAATCATTTAAAATAAGATAATTTAAATGGACCAACAACTTGAAAGGTGTTTTTTATATATATATGTAACATTTTATTTCTCTTTTCATATTAAAATATATTTTCAAAACGCCATATAAAATTTACCATAGACTTTTAGAACCAGAACTAATCTCAGTTGGTCATCTAGTTCAATGACTGATTTTATGTAAAAAATGATGTCAGAAATACCAAACGCTTCACTCAAGTTAATACTATGTACTGATAGCAGGTGTATGACTAAAATCAAGATAGCTTTCTCATACCTTAAAGATTGGTGGTTTTCCAATGTCCCATAACATCTGGTCCCAAGTCCAGGAGTTATTGTTCAGGCCTGGAACAAATTTATGATCAATAAAACAAATCCTAAAAGAGTCTTTTAATTTCACTATATCCCAGTTTATCCTCCTTTTAGTTGAAATTATTCAAAGTCTTCTAACTGGCCCTCTCGCTTCTATTCATGCTCCAAACCCAAACTTCACACATTTTTATTTTTTCAAAATATATATCAGTTCACATTTGTCACCTGCTTGGAATTCTCTAATGTTCTCATCAAATTTGGATAAAATCCCAACTCTTTATATGGCCTAGAAAGTGAGACATAATCTGGTCCTGCCTAACTCTAAATTCTCATCTACCACCAGTGCTGCAATGAAGGGTACTTCTAGAACTCCTAGTCTGTTTTGAGACCTTTCAATGTATTAATCATTCAGTACCCTCAATGATTCTATGAGGCCTGTGTGCTTAGTTCCAGTTGACAGATTAAAGAACTGAGCTCAGAGGAACTTAAACAAGTTGCCTAGTGTCACGCAACAGTGGAGCCAAGATTTAATCGAGACTTTCTGACTCCAGGCTCTGTGCTCAATTTCATGCTGTGTTTAGGTATTTTCCTGGCTTGTGCTTCTGCAGACATGACTGGATCTTCAGCCTCTTCAGTATTCAAGACCCCGCTCATATCTGAGGCATTCCAATAGCTTTTCCCTTTGTCGGGAACGCTATTCTCCCACATATTTGCATGGCTTGGTGTCACACATTTTTTTTCAAATGTAAATTCGAATATCATTTTCTTAAACTACAGGCTTGATTTATTATCTACTCTGTGTCTCCCACCACCCAGGGCACAACTGCTAACCTAGGTCCTGTTCATTTACCAATTCTTTACCTTTCTTATATTTTTCTCTTACCACTTAATATTGCCTAAAATTATATTGTTTCCTCATTTATACATGTAAGCTCTATATCCCTTACTAGAATGTATTTTAAGGATGGTGAGGCATTTTTCTATTCATCATTCGACTTCCTCTGTCTTAAACTGTTAGAACAGATGCCCAATAAATATTTCTTGAATGAATTAATTTTGTTATGTTCAGAATAACTTCTGAAAAATATACATTCTTTAGGAACTGACTTAAGAATAATGTTGGATTATTATTTTAGGATGCTATACATATTTTATTGTAATTATATTTGTCCTTTCTCCCATTCATTCAGCTAATTATTTATTGAATTATAAAATTTAATTTACTATCTAGAGTTTAATAAAATTAGTTCTAGGTTTCTTCAGGCTATGTTGTTTTCTTGTTTCATTCATAGATCCTCTACAAAAATAACAACATGGAGATGAAGGGGTGTCCCTGGTACTAATACAAAGTTGTCTTGCCTAAAACTGATAATTTTTAATGAGGGATTGATATGCATCTACTAAAGAATTTGAATAGATATAAAAACTTTTAAAATCATGTAATTATAACATTTGACTTCAAATAGGGAAAAAAAACATGTAAAGAAAGAAAAGCATAAAACTAATAATTTTTTTTTTAGTACTCTGAGTCTTAAATTTAGAAACCCAATAAATCAAATGAAACATTATATTATATCACCTTCATAGCAGGTTATCCTAGAGCTTTGATACTACAGAAGAGAACATAAAATCTATAAGGAGATATCTGTGTTTGAAAACGTCATCCGTGAGTTGAAATTGGATTTCAGAACCATGGCTTAAAATGCTTCTCATTTCAGTATATCTATGGGTTAAGTATCTATAAACCAACACACCAAGGATGGGTAATAAGTAAACTTAAATTGAGACACTAAACCAGCACAGTAAATATAATCTTATGTTATCACTGTGACTTCATGAAATAGAAATCAAGATTGGAAAATGGCAATGCACTATGGGTATTCAATATTCAAAACAAATATACTTCTTAAGAGCAAAGGCAGAGGGGGAAAAAAATGTGGTCCTTGAAAGCATATACCTTCATGGAAATATATAAATGTGAGGGTAGAAACTTGCTGATAACCAAGGGAGAATAAAACTGAAATGATATCAACAAGGGATTGTACTATGTGCTTTCATATAGATGGAAAAAAGGTGGTTTGTGATAGAAGACAGATTTTCATGGAGGTACTTCAAATAGCTGGCTCTATTGCATATTTGTTTGCTTAAAATACAGTGTCTGAGAAATTCTTGAATTATTTTGCTCACAGATTCTTTTCTCAGAAATCAAAATAAATTAGGCAATTTCTCCATATTTAATTGTGACATAGCAAGTATAAATATATTTACAGCTAGTACACTGGAAGTAATAGTCCCTTACAAAGATGCAATATTTTTGTCTTTTCTTGACAATGGAAGAAAAATCATAGATATGTTAAGGTGTATCCCCAAATAACACTTAAAAAAAAGTTAAAACAATAACAATAACAAAAAAAAATGCAATAATTCCAAAAATTTTAGCAAAAAGCAAACTGATGTTAAACATCCCCCAAACGTGGGTCCTATGTACACTACTCCTGTGTGATGCTTATAGAGAAAGTATCCATGAAAAAATAATTTTAGAAAACAATACATAGTTTATTCTTCTTATGAAGTTCATTGTATCATTAGCTAATGGAAGCCCATGCTAATATCTATTGCTGAGGAACAAACCATTCTAAAATTCACTGCTTGAAACTATGATGGATTAATTTTATTTGTGAATCAGCAGCAGCAGTTCTCAATCTGTGGGTCGCAATCCCTTTGGGGTTCAAATGACCCTTTCACAGGGGTCGCCGGGTACTCGTATGTGGGCGTATCTTCACGTGGGCCTGGAGACGGATAGAGGAGCAGTGTCTCGGTTTCTAAGACCATCGAGAATATGTGTTTTCCGATGGTCTTAGGTGACCCCTGTGAAAGGTTGAGAACCGCTGATCAGCAGTATAGGAAAGTTTCACAGGGACAGCTTGCTGGGCCTCATGGGGGTCTGGGCAAAGGCTGAAGGCTGGAATTACTTTTACTCTCACTTGATACGTGTTCTGTAGTTCACCTGGTTGTCAGCTGGAACCTCAGCTGGAGCTGTTGCTGGGACACCCACACATGGACTGTCCATGCGGCTGCTTGGCTTCTACATAGCACAGTGTCTGTTATCTCAAGGGTGACCATCTTGAGGATAGTCAGTGGAAGAGACATTGTGTTTGATGACCTAGCAGACATCATGCAGTGTCACCTCCATCTCATAGCATTGGTTAGAATTGAGTTGCTCAGGCCAGCTCATATTTCAGGGAGGAGAATTGGACTCCTTCTTTAGATGAGGTTATCTGAGGTTATCAAAGAACATGCAGATGTGTTTTAAAGCCAATACAGATGTTTTGAAATTTGCAAGTCTGAAATTTGTTTACCCTAACATTGCCTGATTTTCTTGCTCATGGTATTTTTTCTCAGATGACACTAATTATTATATAATATGAAGATACCATTCTTAATACATACACACACACACACACACACACACACACACACACACACAGAGAAAGAGAAAATACTCTTGAAGAAGATCTTCCTGCAAGTACATAGTATTACTCTGAATTTACTTGAGCAATAGTAGTTTAATGAATGGGATTAGAGTGGCCTACAATGTATTTCTAAGAAAAGCCTAGTCATACAAAAGTCTAAACGTGTGCTCACATTTTACCCATCCTATAAACTAATAACTTCATCTTTTCCTTTTACCCTTAATTCAATTTAGTGCACTTTCATCTTTTTGTCATTAGTAAACCTTTAATATGATTGAACAAAGTGTATACAGATACACATATCACTAACAATGTGATCTTTAACTACAAAATAAGACATATTGGGTAGAACTTAACAAGCAGAGAAACTTTAAACCACTCGGGTCTTCCATTCTCTTATTATTCCATAAATAGATATGTTTCAGCCAGGTTTGCTCCATTGGATATACTATGCAAATGACTACAGAGGAGCAACCCTGTCCAGGGAATATTTAACATCATTACATGAAAAGGAAGAAAAAGCACATATACTTGACTATGCTACAAGTTACTAAGTATTTTAAACATAAAACATAGCATAGGACATTTACCCATGAAGCATTTGTTAACTCTTCCAGACAGAGGTTTCTTTCTCTTTCATACTCTCCTAATATTTTAAATGATTTCCTATATTTCAGAGTCTTTTTCCTTATTCACTCTCATCCCTATCTTTATCGTCACATCTATACCGTCTCTTTTTGTTCAACATAAGTGCATTTCAGACTGTCATATCTAAATGAAAATGAAATACCTAGACTATACATTTTCTGCTTACCTTTAAACCCTTTTGCTTAGAAAGCAATGTATGTTTTGCAGATTATGTTAGAGTCACTACAATCATAAATTTTCTTTCAGCACTCCATTGAAACTCTTCTGCCTAGTCACCAAAAATGTCTTACTTGGGAAATGCATTGTTACTTTCAAACTTCTTATCACCTGCCTTTTCTGCTGCATTTGACATGGTTAACCACATTTTCCTTTTCCGATCTTTTGTGTTTAGCTATCTCCAGACTCCCAATGTGAATATATAATCTGTCCAAAATCTGTGCCATTTTTGAAATTTCATATCTCAGGGAGTTATGTTTTCATGCTCCTAATTTTTTTCCCCAAAATTAGCTCCTAAAATCTTGATACCTCCTTTTTCTCATCTACTTCCTATGAGTCATCAAGTATGATCAACTCTTTACCTGTAACATTACTTAAATTGTTTTCTCACTAACTCCTTATTAAGTCAGGACATCACTATTTTTTCCCTGGATTATTAACAATTGCTTCCAATATCTTACTTCCTTCAGTCTAGCTCTTTCTAAACTATTCAGTCCAATGATGTTAGAGTGAGAAAATTTTCCTGTTTAGAATCACTCACATTCTATAGCCATGTCACCATATGTGCACTTTCCAGAGCCCCACAATTTTTGTGCTTTTTATAAACTGCTCCATCTACTGAATGCTTTTCTTTCTCTTCTTCACCTGATGTGCTCCCTGGCCTTGAAGACTTGGCTTAAAAATCCCATTCTCTGAG